TTCAGTTGGGTCCATGTAGTGTGTACGTGTAATTTTTGTGTGTCCAAGCCTGTTCATATTATCTTGTGACCGTTGAGTGAATGTTTTTGGTAATTTGGTAGCAGTTGAGTTGGGGATGGTTAATTGCTTGGTAAAACCGTGAAGTTTTGGATATGTTTGATTACATTTTTGTGAGATATGTATTTTTAATATATTTTAATATGTCTTGTGTGTTTAAGTTTTCGATGTCTGTAAGTGGTTGTCTGGTGGCGTTTTTTGCTAGGATGTCTGCAAGTTCGTTTCCAAGTATTCCTACGTAACCGGGTATCCAAAGTAATTTAAATTTAGTATTGTCTTTGTGTAGAAGATAACGGATTTGCCTCTTTTAGTTTTATGTATTTGCAGTGCTTCTGCTGTTGCAAGTAGCTCTGCGGAGAATGCTGAAGAGTAGTGTGGTAGGTGATAAAGTTTGATGCATTCAGTTTCAGTGGTGATTGCCAGGCTAGTAATGCCGTTTGCTTGAGATCCGTCGGTGTAAATGTTTCTTTAGATCAGTGTTGCCAGGTGATGAGCGCACATATAAGCTAGATTTGTGAAAATAATAAGCTAGAATAAGCTAAAATTAAAAAAAAAAAAGCTACACCAAAATGTGGGTGGCAATAGTCATTGGGGGCTATTTTTATGATTAAGTCCTTAAATTTCCATTGAAAGGGCTGCTTCCTGCTCCTGTGTTTTGTAACATTTTGCAGGGAAACTTATTTTCTGAGATTGTGCAATTGAGCACATCCTAGCATGTGCTTCTTTTTTGCCGCTGCAAAGATTTTTGCTGAAATTGTTGATCTATTGCTCCTATTGTAAGAGCAATAAGGTGTTGTATAATCTTCTGACAGTTTGCGTAATCACGCCTTGAACTCAACACTTTGGAGTCAAGCATCGCGAAAAATTTGTTTATATTGGACTTTCGGCATTTTACCACTCGCTTTATTAAAGTTCACAACTCCAAGTGATTGCTGGCAACACTTTAACCAACATATCGATATTCGATGGAACTATCGATTAGAAATATATTCACGATCATATGAAACGCACATAACCATCGGCAAAAAAATAACAAGCTCCGATATTTTCATGTCATAAACAACTCGTTAATGACGTAAATAAATTTAAAGCTAGAATATGCTAGATGAATTTTAAAATAAGCATATTTCAAGCTATAAACTAGATCGATATTTTTCAAGCTTTTCCAGTTCAAAATATGCCAGAACTAGCGTATAATAAGCTAAACTGGCAACACTGCTTCAGAGGGCTTTATTTAGAGGGCTTGTGTTCCAGGGCTGTGAGGATTGTTCATGTGGTTTTAGTTGTTTAAATGGTAGTTGGTGGACTTGTGAGTATTCTATAATACGATCTGTCGTTGATTTGTATTGCGGACATTTTGGAAATTTTTTTAATTTTTATTATTGGTGATGCCTTGCCGCTAACCAGGGACTTGCTGATTTTTGACGCAAGGTCTTCTAAGGTGTCTGCATATGCTTCGTAAAGTATGTTTTTTAGCGCTTAGTAGTGTAGATGTGTTTCAGTTAATCTTTGCGCTTGAAAGACATTTTATTACGTTAATATACTGTTTGAGGTTGTTGTTTAGTAGTTCTGTGTGAGTTTTCCATCTGTATTTGTTATTGAAGTGCAAACCAAGGATTTTCAATGATGTTACTTCTATCATTTGCGTGTTTCCTGTTGTTATGGTGCCGTTACAATTATCTTTTCTGCAAACATGAAGGTGTTTGCATTTTGTGGTAGATAACATGGTTTATGTATGTATTTAGGTTTTTGTTTTTGTGTTTTTTGAGATGATGTTGAAGTCATCTGTGTATGCGCTTGGGCTGATGTTCGGGCAAAGTGTGAGCTTTTCAGTTAGTGAGTTATATGCAATCACAAAAAGGACCACGGAGAGTTGGGAGCTTTGAGGATGAGGAGCTTTGCATTGGTTGAAAGGAGGAGATGTCAGAGTCAATGCGCACGAGTAGTTTTATTTGTAATGCAGTTTCGTCACACAGTTAATAATTTTTGGGCCAGGTTACAAGTTGATCAAGTATATAGTGGATGCCAATTATATCGAAGGCCTTGGCGAAGTCTTGGGATATGATAGATGCGTGGTTTGTTCTTGAGAAAGCTCGTGCTAAAAGTTGGTCTATGGAAGTTAATAATTTTTTTTTTGGTTGTTTTATCAAGGTTTTTTATCATTGTGTAGTTGATTCTGTCAAGACCTGGTTACTCGTAGAGTTAACGGGTATGCTAGATTCATTGAAAAATATGTATCAGGTAGAAGGAAGCGTTTCCGACCCTATAAAGTGTATATATTCCAGATCAGTATCATTAGCGGAGACGAGCCATGTCCGTCTTTCCGTCTGTCCGTATGAACGCTGATATCTCAAGAACTATAACAGATACAAAATTGAGATTAAGAAGATTCTTTAGGTCCCTACGCAGCGCAAGTTTATTTCCGCATCCTGCCACGCCTACTCTAACGCCCACAAAAACGAGGGCTATTTGCTATTGGTCCTGGTCAAGAATATATATGCGTCATAGGATCGGAAACGTTCCTTCTATCTGTTACATACTTTTCAACGAATCTTGTATACCCTTTTACTCTATGAGTATAAAAAACGCATGGTTCAACTTATTCTTTCGTCGACCTAAACCTTATTTCGCAAAGCGCCATACAAAAATTAGAATCACGACATTCCTAGAAAGCTTCTCACTGCCCATACCTACAGAATTAAAAGAACATCTGTGTATGGGCTTGGGCTGATGTTCGGGCAAAGTGTGAGCTTTTCAGTTAGTGAGTTATATGCAATCACAAAAAGGACCACGGAGAGTTGGGAGCTTTGAGGATGAGGAGCTTTGCATTGGTTGAAAGGAGGAGATGTCAGAGTCAATGCGCACGAGTAGTTTTCTATTTGTAATGCAGTTTCGTACACAGTTAATAATTTTTGGGCCAGGTTACAAGTTGATCAAGTATATAGTGGATGCCAATTATATCGAAGGCCTTGGCGAAGTCTTGGGATATGATAGATGCGTGGTTTGTTCTTGAGAAAGCTCGTGCTAAAAGGTGGTCTATGAGTAGTAGACTGTCTATATCCGATTTCGCTTTTCTAAAACCAGTTTGACTATAATGGATTAGTTTGTCATTTTTTACAGCCCACCACAGCCGTTTTGCTATTATTTTGTCAAGTAGTTTTGCTAGGCATGAGATTGGTGAGATCGGTCAGTACGAGTTAAGCAAGTTTTGTCTGTGTTTGGTTTTAGGATCGGTATTATTAAGCTTTTTTTGTATGTTTGTGGAATGTAACTGTTTGGTATGACTTTTGGAGGTTAATAATTCTTTTTTTTGTTGTTTTATCAAGGTTTTTTATCATTGTGTATTTGATTCTGTCAAGTCCTGGTTACTCGTAGAGTTAACGGGTATGTTAGATTCATTGAAAAATATGTATTAGGTAGAAGGAAGCGTTTCCGACCCTATAAAGTGTATATATTCCAGATCAGTATCAATAGCGAAGACGAGCCATGTCCGTCTTTCCGTCTATCCGTATGAACGCTGATATCTCAAGAACTACAACAGATACAAAATTGGAGATTAAGAAGATTCTTTAGGTCCCGAAATGGAGTGGGCGGAGTTGTCCAAAAAAATAAGCCCGGCTATCGTGGCGGATGTCGGCCGTAGAAGTTGGATGGGGGTGGTTGCAGCTGGAAATTCCCACAAGTCCAAAAAAAGAAGAAAGCGGCGAGATCGACTTCACGATGGGATGGCACTTTATTGGCTCACTTCAGATTTTAGATTAAGTTAAACTAAGTTAAAACTAAAGAGGAACCCAAACTGGACCGCGGAGTGGTGGGTTTCGCCGGGAGCGGGAGAGCACCGGAGAGCGGGAGTGCAAGCGCCAGTGCAGCGCTCGCTCTTACACTGCCGCTCGAAACTAAGCGCCCTTATGGCGCGAACATTCTCCCCCCCCTTGCGGCAGCAAGAGTCAGGATTACTCCTCGTGGCATACTCCGGAGACGGTCCATCCAAACACGGTGCTCTGAGCGACGGGCAGCCCATCTTCCAGCTTCAGGAACCCCGGTTGGATCAGCTTGGGGAACAAGTCTGACCCCAACGCGAGGGAAATGGTCGATGGGCGATGGAACTGTTCATCCGCGAGCCGGATATCCTCGAACTTGGCCCGGATGGTGTCACTCAGAGCCCGTACTGGCGTGCGAATCCTAAGGCTGGGATCGAGCCTTAAAACGACGTCGAGCCTGAAGTCGCCCGTGCGGGATCGGATGGTCGCCGTGCAGACCTCCTCCTCGCCTGTCTGCGTGACGGGCAGCCGGTATGCCGTCGCCAACGACCGGTCAATACTGCTGACCGCCATGCACGGGTCGATCAGGGCCCCCATCTCAAACGTGGTGCTCCCGGTGTCGAGCAGCACGCAGGCGGTCGGGAGGATGTGAACCACCCTCTGTCGCAGATAAGCCGCCACGGTCGGAGATGGAGTGGGGGCCACTGAACGCGCTGGTTCCCTTGGGACGGGATGGCGAGCCGGCGCTGGAGTGGGGGCCGCCGGCCGAGCAGGATCACTGGAGACGGGCTGACGAGCGGGGCGTTCGGTGCGTGGACGAGAGGTTGATGGCACCGCCTCGTGCATGTGGAGCAGGGTGTGATGATCCCCCCGCACGTTTTGCATCCCTCGGTGCTTCGGCAGGTCCCTCCTGAGTGCTCGTGGGCGAGGCAATTCGAGCAGTACTTATTAATCAGCACTGCCCGAAGGCGCTTCTCAGCGCTCAGTTTCTGGAACCTCTTGCACTTCCGAAGAGGATGGATGCCCCGGCAGACTCGGCAGCGGTAGGATTGAATACCTCGGGTACGTCTGCTATCCAAATCCTGGGCTGTGCGGGGACGCGGCACCATTATGTTGAAGTTGTTCTGCGAGGAAAAGAGACAAAAAGTTGGCTTAGTATGTGACCTCGCAGACGGAAATAGATTAATGGCTGGAAGTAGCCGGTTCCTTGCTCTCCATAGGGAGAAGGATAACCTTATGCACGGGCCGTTTTATTGTGCCGCGCGCCGTACGGACTTCAGCCACTCGAACTCGGCCATCGGCTCCGGGGAAAACAGAAACAATTCTGCCGAGCCGCCATTCGTTCGAGGGCAAATTATCCTCCTTAACTACCACCATATCGTCAATTTTGATGTTTCGGGTCGGAAATTGCCATTTGTTGCGTTTGTGGAGTTCCTTGAGATACTCCTCTTTCCACCGCGCACTAAACTGCTGATGTTGGGCTTTCAAATGTTGCCATCGATTGATTATCGACTTGGCTTCGCCCTTTATCTCAGGCTCAGCCGTGGAAAGCAACGGCCCGCCAATCAGGAAATGGCCAGGCGTGAGGGCTAGCAGATCGGAGGGATCTTCAGACATCGGGGATAGGGGTCTGGAGTTGAGGCAAGCTTCGATCTTGGCTAGGAGCGTCGCAAGTTCCTCAAATGTATACTTGCGCGTAGCCGTGGCTTTATAGAAAAGAGTTTTGAAACTTTTCACCCCTGCTTCCCACAGACCCCCCATATGCGGAGCCCCGGGCGGGATGAAGCGCCAGTCAAGTCCCTGATGGCTGTGTACATCAGTCACAGACTCTTTGACGGCTTGAAGGAAGTCCCGAGAAAGTAGAGAAGCTGCCCCCACAAACGTCTTGCCATTATCAGAATGAATCCGCCTTGGGCACCCGCGCCTAGCTACGAAACGAGCGAAGGCGGCTAGGAACTTTTCGGCGGTGAGATCGGATGTCGGCTCTAAATGGATAGCCTTCGTGGAAAAACACACAAATACACATACATATCCCTTGGTAATGAGACACGCTCTCCCGGTATAGTTTTTAATCTCGAACGGCCCGGCATAATCAATGCCCGTATATGTAAAAGGCCTCGAGAAGGACACTCTGTCCTTTGGAAGATCGCCCATCAGCTGAGTTTGCAGTCTCTTTTTGTAAATCGTGCAGATCTTACACGGATTCACCACTGCCTTGACCAGATTCTTGAGTTTAGGAATCCAATACTTCGATCGGATCAGGCGAACGATCAACTGACTACCGCCGTGAAGAGTAATCTGGTGGGTGAATTGGACGAGAAGGCGAGACAGTCTACAGCCGTAGGGCAGAATTATTGGATGCCGTTCATCATACTGGAGGGCTCTAGAAGCTGTGACGCGACCACACGCCCTTAGGAGGCCGAGTTGGTCCGTGAACGGAAACAAGTTTAAAATTGGACTTGCCCCCGGAAGGGGCTTCTTCTCTGCCAAGTGCTTCAGCTCTTGGCCGTATGCTCGACGTTGCGCGATGGAAATCAGCGTTTGTTCTGCCTCTCGGATTTCTTCCCTCGTGGGTCGGGAAGTAGAGGAGATCGCGCCCTTACGGCAGCGGCTAAGGAAGCGCCGAACATACGCCAGGACTCGCAGTGCTTTGTCCAGTTTAGAGAAGCGTTCGAGAAATTCGTCAGAAGGGACCTGGCTGAAATGCACCTTCACCGCGCGCTGCTCGAGCTCTGTGTTCGGTTGCACAATGCTTTGGGCTGGCCACAGCTCTTGTGGCCCTTGCAGCCACTCTGGCCCGTGCCACCAAAGTTGACTATCCGCTAACTCGAGTAGGGACACGCCTCGACTAGCTAAATCGGCGGAATTTTGTTCGGATCGAACGTGTGCCCAGCAGTCGACTGGTACTGCCTGCGTTATCTTGGCCACTCTGTTGGCAACAAACGTGGTCCAGTTGCACGCCGGCTTCCGTAACCAGGCCAGAACGATGGTCGAATCGGTCCAGCAGCGTATGTCGGAACTTGGTGTGGGCATATTAGGAAGAATAGCCGTTACCATTTCGGCTAACAACACGGCGCCACATAGCTCTAGCCGTGGAAGGGACACGGTCTTGACGGGAGCGACTCGGGTCTTGGATGTGAGGAGGTTAGAAAGTATTTTCTGACCCACCTCGACGCGCACGTAGATCGCCGCTCCATAAGCCTTTTGGGACGCATCACAGAATCCATGATACGCCACTTTGATCTCAGGCTGAAAACAGACCCATCTCGGGACGCGGATCTGGTTGAGGTCGGAATACTCATGAAGAAACGCCTGCCACCTCTGACTCATTTCGCTGGGAAGCTTATCATCCCAGCTGAAATCTTGTAGCCAAATCTCCTGCATAAACATTTTGGAACGTATTATAAACGGAGCGAGCCATCCGGCTGGATCAAACAACCTCGCGATTTGGGACAACACCTCCCGCTTTGTAAAGGAGGGTTCCACCACTATTTCTGGCGGCACGAAGTAGAATTCGTCGGACTTAGCCCTCCATCGAATCCCGAGCGTTTTGGCCGTGCTTTCGGTATCGATATCGAGGAACTCGCTATGAAGGAGGTGTTCGGCCGGAATATTTTGTAGTATGCTCGTGTGGTTTGAAGTCCACTTCCTCAACGGGAAACCAGCAGAGCTAAGAGCTGCTTGTAGCTCTTGGATTGAACTATGGGCCTCAGATATGGAATTTGCCCCTGCCAGAACGTCATCGACGTACATATGTTGTTGAAGAATGTGGCTGGCTTTTGGAAACGCCCCTTGGACATCCTCTGCTATCTGCTGCAGCACTCGAATAGCGAGGAAGGGCGCACAGTTGACCCCGAAGGTAACTGTTTTCAACTCAAAGTCTCGAATATCCCCCTCCTTATCTCGGAACAGGATTCTTTGAAAGGGTGTATGTTTCGGATCGACCCAGATCTGACGGTACATCTTTGTGATGTCCGCGCTGAACACATATTGGAAATATCGCCATTTCAGAATTTGAATGGTCAGATCGGATTGCAGGACTGGACCAGCATGAAGAATATCATTTAAGCTGGTTCCATTCGCAGATGGACTGGAGGCGTTAAATACAACGCGAAGCTTTGTCGTAGTACTTTCGGGCTTGATTACCGCGTGATGTGGAAGATAGTAAGTGGGGGAACTATGAGTCGATGGAACTTCGTGCATATGACCCAGATCCAGATACTCCTGAATCACGCTGTCATATTGCTCTTTTAACGGAAAGTCTCTTTTTAAACGATTCTCGTTTCGAAGAAACTGAGCTAACGCAATGGACCTTGAATATCCCAGATCGGACCCCGAGTTTTCGGGGTCGCAGAATGGGAGCGTAACCACGTACCTCCCGCTTGCGTCTCTTTTGGTAGTCCGGAGGAAGTTCCTTTCGCAATAGGAATCCGACTCTTTCACCATCTGGAATGGTAGATCCTCCACCTCCCAGAACTTGCTAAGAAGCGAGTCTAACGAATCTTCCTTTTGGTGGTGTACTTGAGTCGTGAAGGATGCGACTCTGTTGGCCTTAGTATTGGAGATCGGCCCGGTAAGTACCCAGCCGAAGATGGTCTCTTGGCCTAGGAGGGAGCCACAAATGTTTCTCCGAGTGCCTTGCATCATCACCGACGGTAGAATATCAGCTCCGATCAGTAAATCGATTTGGGAACTTTCAAAGAAGTTTGGGTCTGCCCATTGGAGATCGGGCAGGTCTTGCAAAGAATTCCTGGGAACTGGATGGGAGGGCAGTTTGCCCGCTAATTCCGGAAGGACATAGGCTGCGGTATCTAGTTGAAGACCCGGCTTAGTAGGGGAGCGGATAGCAAACTGGCAGAGTCTCGTTGACTCTGCCGAAACCGATTGGTTTAGCCCTGAGACTTGTGTTTGGGTTTTTCGGAAAGGCAACTTAAGGAGTTTGAACATGCGTTCGGAGATGAAGGTGGCTTCCGATCCCGAGTCGAATAAAGCTCGGGCTCGGTAGCTCGTGCCCAGATGGCACACGTCAACAATTGCCGTGCTCAGCAGGACGGCTGTAGTATTTGCAGCGAAATAATTTTGCACCGTTGAGGTGCTCGCGGATGCATTGCGACTGGAGGATTGTTGCGCCGAGGGCGCCGAGGTTGGAGAGCTCGTGGGTCGAGCGTTTGAGGAAGTCGTGCTTGAGGAACTGGGGGAGCCGCGATGCAGCAATGTATGATGCCTCCCCCTACACGTGAAACAGCTATGTGTGCTCGTGCAATCACGTAGCTGGTGGCCTCTAGCGAAACAGTTCAGGCATAGCTGCTTCTTTTTGATGTAGCCGGAACGCGCGTCGACAGACATGTTGAGAAAGCGCGGGCACAATCTGATTGGATGATTTTCCTTAGAACATAAGTCACACCCCTTTTGTTTGGGGGTGACCTTGGTCTCGAAGGATTGCAGCCTTTTGGGAACTGACTGAGTCGGCTTCATATCCTCGATAGCCTCAAGTGTCCGATACCTTTCGCTTAGGAAGGTGTTCATCTCCTCCCAAGCCGGAATTTCGGACTTCGAAGTTAGCGACTGTTCCCATAAGGAAAGGGTTAACTTTGGCAGTTTGCTGGCGCACAGGAAGACCAACAGACAATCCCAGTTGTCAGTGGAGATATTGGAATGTGCTAGCGCTGTTAGACACCCCTGAATCGTAGACTGCAGCTCCTTTAGAGCATGTCCCGACTCTTGAGAAATGGAGCTCAAGTTGAACAAAAGCTTGAGTTGGCTGTTGACTAAAAGTCTTTTGTTTTGGAAACGGTCTTGAAGCGCTGCCCACGCTGACGCGAAGCCGTCATTTGTAAGCGGGGATTTGGACACTATGGCCTTTGCCTCGCCACTAGTTTTGGTGAGGAGATGGAAAAGCTTCTCGACCGGTGTCAGCCTGGGGTTGTTAACATAAACTGCCGTGAACAGGTCCCGGAAAGTGGGCCATCGGAGGTAGTCCCCATCGAAAACTTCTGTATCGCAGGGCGGTAGCCGGCAACCGGACGAAATAAGCGGTTGAGAGGGAAGAGCTGGATCGGCTTGAGGCGTCACTCTGTCTAGCGTTTCGCTAATCTGAGCTGCACATGTCGCGTATACGGAGTAGCAATAGTCATACTTTGCTTGTAGGAGAGGTAAGGTGCTGAGGGATCCTTCCTGGGCAATGAGGTCAGAGCAGATTTCGTACTCTTTTTCAACCTTCTCCCATAAGGCTCGCACTTGCTGCAGATGGACTTGAAATGTGTGTGAAGATTGCGAAGCCTGACCAGGAGTATTGATTTTGTCTTCGAAAGCGCTGACGCGATCGCTCACAGCGATGAATTTGTGCAACGCAGCGGTTGCGGCCGTTGGCTGCTCGGCTACCGACATTTTCTTACTAGCGCGCGTGACCCTCAGAAATTTAGTCCCGGATGCAGAGGGATTCTCTGGCTGTTCCACAAGTGAAGATTCGCTCGACGCTTTCGCCACCGGTTTGGAGACGACAATTCTCGGACTTGTTTTTGAGCCCGTCGTTGGGCGATCTCTGATCTTTGGCGTGGCACTCGAGCTTCTAGGTCTCGGGCTAGCGGACTTGGGCACTTGTTTGACGCGAGAAGGCAGCGGAGAGGAAAGGGTGGTCTTTGTTTCCTTTTTTGGTGTCGGCGTTGGCTTCTTGTCACCCTCAACGGGCATACTCAGCTACGCTGTTTAAATCGGAAGGCCTTCCCGCCGCCAAAAAATTAAGGAAACGAATAAAAAACTGACCCGCAGACTCGGTTTGGAGCAAATTAGCTGATATAGCTAGAAAAATAGCTAGAAAATAGCGACCGGTTACGAAACGCTTATTGGAAAAAATAGCTAAATATAGCTATGAGTTACGGAAACAACAAAAAATAGCTGAATGCCCACTGACAAAAATATAGCTAAATATAGCTAAGAGTTCTGGAAACAGCAAACAATAGCTGAATGCTCCCTGACGAAAAATATAGCTAAATATAGCTAAGAGTTCTGGAAACAGCAAACAATAGCTGAATGCTCCCTGACGAAAAATAGCTAAATCTCGCTGAGAGAATCAACCCAAACGACTAAAAAGGCTGAATAGCTAAACACAAAAAAAAAACCAACCGAAACAATGGAAAAAAAAAAAAACCGACACATCAACCGCAAGAAAAACTTCGACAATCAATTTTAAAAAAAAATTAAATAGCCAAAAAAATTAAATGGCTGGTGGTACGATAGCCTAGGAGCAGAATTTAGATTTGGAATTCTCTGGCAAAAATTTTTCTGTAATTTAGGAACACAATCGAAGTTTAACCACTTTTGCGACACAAGAAAAAAGAAGCCAAAAAAAACTAGCTGAAAAACGAATCTAAAATAGCTATCGACCTTGAAATTTTCTTTGACGATTATTCGAAAAATATTATTTTTTTTTTTTTTTTTGCGCTCGATTTTGAATTCCCGTATGGATGTAGGATTGGTGCCGTGTGTTTTGCTCGTTACTATTTGAATCGTGTAAGTGCCTATGCTTGCATATGAACAAAACGGAGACAAAATAAAAATTGCCCAAATATATGTATGTGTGTATATGGAGTTCGATGCTTAGCACAGAATAGCGCTAAGCTCTGCTCATGTATGTATGTATGTATTTGATGGAAAAATTTTGGCTGCTCGCAGAATAGCGGGGAGCTTATGTATGCGAATATATATGTATGTACGCTTGGAAACTAGCGGATCACAGTGAAAAACTATGTAGAGGGCCAATATTGGCAAAGCACTTTGCACTTTAAAATCGAAAAAAAATTCACTGCGGCTAGGCGTATGTTTTTTATACCTATATTCTTGTATATAGGCATCTATATATCACTTCTCACTTTTTCACTTGGAATTTGGACTCGGATGGAAATAACGCCTTGGAAAAGGAATATGGCGACCACGGACGAAAGGTTTGGAAAATAGTCGTACTTATCTTGGAAAAATCCGCAAAGGGGGGCGCTGATCAGGATAGATCCGGCTCGAAGGACCATGAAATGGAGTGGGCGGAGTTGTCCAAAAAATAAGCCCGGCTATCGTGGCGGATGTCGGCCGTAGAAGTTGGATGGGGGTGGTTGCAGCTGGAAATTCCCACAAGTCCAAAAAAGAAGAAAGCGGCGAGATCGACTTCACGATGGGATGGCACTTTATTGGCTCACTTCAGATTTTAGATTAAGTTAAACTAAGTTAAAACTAAAGAGGAACCCAAACTGGACCGCGGAGTGGTGGGTTTCGCCGGGAGCGGGAGAGCACCGGAGAGCGGGAGTGCAAGCGGGAGTGCAAGCGCCAGTGCAGCGCTCGCTCTTACACTGCCGCTCGAAACTAAGCGCCCTTATGGCGCGAACAAGAAGTCTGAATCGGTTGTCCGGCCCCGTCAGCCGGTTGCCGGTGCCCCAAACTACGAGGGTGGATATGGGCGTCCGATCCCGTCACCCGGGAATCGGTTGCCTGGCCCCGTCAGCCGGGTGCCGGTGCCCCAAGAAACGTGAGGGAAGGGGGAAAAGAATGAGAGAGAGGGGAATGCGTTACCGTCATCCTGAGACCGCTTGCCGCCCTGTTTCCTAGTGACCGGGATTGGGGAGAATAATTTTGAAGTTGAGCATTTGTGTATTAATAAAGTTATTTTATTCACATGGCTTGCTTATGTTTTAAGCCTATCTCTACGCTGTTCCCTGCACCCCCGCAGTTGGCCCTCAGCGGAGGTCTCCTTGTCCGCCAGCCACGTGGTTTACCGGGGCTGCTCCTTGTTTCTTCCGTGATTACGACGATGTGTTCGAGGCGGTGTTGGCTCTGCCGGTGTGATGTTGGCTCTGCCGATGATGGTTTGGCGCGGTGATTGATAAGTTCGAGGCAGTGTTGGCTCTGCCGGTATGATGTCGGCTCTGCCGATAATGGTTTGGCGCTGTGGGATGTTGATGTGTTCATCGCCTCGTGTTGGTTCTGTCAATGTGGTGTTGGCTCTGCAGATAATAGTTTGGCGCTGTGGGATGTTGATGTGTTCAAGGCGGTGTTGGCGCTGTGTGATGTTGATGACGCGGGCGTGATGTTTGTGATGAGATCTAACGCCCAATGCTTAGCTATGTATGTAATTTATGTCCTAAATGTCCAAAATCTAAATACCCTCCGTGGCTCTTAACTGATGTACATAAATCTATGTTCCCTCCGTGGGTCTTTAAATTAAATATATATGTACCTGGGGGGCGGGGCCGCGTGAGGGATACCTCACAAGCTTATTACTTTTAATATGCCTTGGCCATGTAAGATGCCTATCCAGGTGGACATCTAGATAAGTTATTTCGCTAATCTGAGGAATTTGGGTAAGGTTCAAAGCTAACGTTATATGCATTGTATATGTTTTAAATTATTATTCTTTAATTCCGTTGTAGACCATTAAGGATGCATTACAAAATTCGAGGGAAAAGACCAGATAACGATTACATTGCACTTCTATGCTCTTTTTCGACAAAGGCTATGCACCTTGAATTGGTGAATGACTAAACTACGACGCCTTTAAAGCCGCAATGCGAAGAATGCGCAACGCGGGCTATTCGCTATTGGTCCTGGTCAAGAATATATATGCGTCATAGGATCGGAAACGCTTCCTTCTATCTGTTACATACTTTTCAACGAATCTTGTATACCGTTTTACTCTATGAGTATGAAAAACGAATGGTTCCACTTATTCTTTCGTCGACCTAAACCTTATTTCGCAAAGCGCCATACAAAAATTAGAATCACGACATTCCTAGAAAGCTTCTCACTGTCCATACCTACAGAATTTAAAGAACATGGCGAATTACAGTTATTACTTTTCAAATTCCACCCATACTTTGATGGTCTTCTCTGAATGGATTTCTTGACAGACCGAAAAGCCAAAATAAATATTGAAGAACTTAAACTTGAAATCCTTTTCACGGCAATTAATATTATAACCGAAGTTAATAGGGGAACCGACGAACTTTTTATCAAGCCCCGAAGTAAAAATATTATAAAGCTACCAGTTAACTTGAACAAAGGCGATTTCGTATGCAATCCTCTGGAGATAGACAACAATCTTCTTGCTTTCGGGGGACTTTACACTGCCGAAGACGGTCAAAGCGAAGACGACGAAGCGACACCTTTCACATTTTCGAACGCAGTCAAACACCCCATCCTGACCACCGACAATATTCCCATTCACGTAAAAACGAATAGATATCCCTTTTTAGAGAAAGCCACAAATACCTAAAACTAAAAAAGACCCCTTGGGTCGCCCCTGTTTGGTTAGTCCCTAAAAAAATCAGTCTTCCCCGAAAAAAATGGAATTAGTAATAGATTTCAGGAAACTAAATCATTACGTACAGGTACGCAGTCCCCAAATGGAATTTCTTGCATAGTTTCCGAGTTACCGCTGAGGACTCGCAGATGACATTACCTCCACCTAAACCTCCTCGGGCAATATCCCACTAACGGCGGTGCCGTTCAACCAGCACATCAAACCGCCAACGCAGCGGATTCCCGAAGCTAAATCTTGTAATCAGCTGGGCCACAGGCATCTGCCCGAAAACGCAGACCTAGGCTACTTCGCAAATACAGCATATGTACCCCACTCTAAAGCTAGCTTTCGTATGTACTCAGAACTATAATAAAAGTTAGTCTGATAACTACACCGAATGAAGGAAGTTCGAATTTATTATACATATCTAAATCAAATCCAAAACATAAGACAGCTTTTCCCGGACCACTGACATAACTGACATAAAAGGACCAAGGATGGAAATAACCAGGATTACTGTTCTTATTACCATGAAATAAGTCTGGTAAGCCAAGGGGCAAAGTGAAAATGGGAAAACAAGATAACGAATAGAGAAAGCGTTTGTGTGTCGACAAAATAAAAGTGAAAATAATAAAAACGATCCAAGTCAGCGAGTTAGTGAATTACTATTTTTTGTAATTTGAAAAAATAGGGGATACATGTGTTTTTGTATATGGTAAATATCAGTACAACTTCAACCTACGGAGAGATAAGTCGTGCCAAAAAATGTAAAGCCTAGCTTCGCGCAAGCCAAAAACGTTATCAGCAAAATCTTGCAAAAACAAATATCAACCAAAAAGAGAAAATAAAAACCCGACAATACCAAACACACGAAAATCTCGTAATATCGGCTCAAGCCCTTCATTAGCAATCATGACGGAGCCACCAGACTTTTTCAAAATTACATCAAAATCATATCATTCCCAATTAGGCGACCCGAAATTTATCATAATTAAAAGAAAGGACAACGACCCGTTTTAAAAAATATCACCATTCATAATTAAAAAATCCGTGTATTTCGGCTTTGAAGGAGAAGTCTGAATCGGTTGTCCGGCCCCGTCAGCCGGTTGCCGGTGCCCCAAACTACGAGGGTGGATATGGGCGTCCGATCCCGTCACCCGGGAATCGGTTGCCTGGCCCCGTCAGCCGGGTGCCGGTGCCCCAAGAAACGAGGGAAGGGGGGAAAGAATGAGAGAGAGGGGAATGCGTTACCGTCATCCTGAGACCGCTTGCCGCCCTGTTTCCTAGTGACCGGGATTGGGGAGAATAATTTTGAAGTTGAGCATTTGTGTATTAATAAAGTTATTTTATTACATGGCTTGCTTATGTTTTAAGCCTATCTCTACGCTGTTCCCTGCACCCCCGCAGTTGGCCCCTCAGGCGGAGGTCTCCTTGTCCGCCAGCCACGTGGTTTGTACTGCTCCTTGTTTCTTCCGTGATTACGACGATGTGTTCGAGGGCGGTGCGGTGTGTGGCTCTGCCAGTTTGCCGGTGTCGATGAGTGTGTTGGCTTTGCCGGTATGATGTTGGCTCTTGATGTTTGGCGCTGTGGGATGTTGATGTGTTCATCGCCTCGTGTTGGTTCTGTCAATGTGGTGTTGGCTCTGCAGATAATAGTTTGGCGCTGTGGGATGTTGATGTGTTCAAGGCGGTGTTGGCGCTGTGTGATGTTGATGACGCGGGCGTGATGTTTGTGATGAGATCTAACGCCCAATGCTTAGCTATGTATGTAATTTATGTCCTAAATGTCCTAAATCTAAATACCCTCCGTGGCTCTTAACTGATGTACATAAATCTATGTTCCCTCCGTGGGTCTTTAAATTAAATATATATGTACCTGGGGGCGGGGCCGCGTGAGGGATACCTCACAAGCTTATTACTTTTAATATGCCTTGGTCATGTAAGATGCCTATCCAGGTGGACATCTAGATAAGTTATTTCGCTAATCTGAGGAATTTGGGTAAGGTTCAAAGCTAACGTTATATGCATTGTATATGTTTTAAATTATTATTCTTTAATTCCGTTGTAGACCATTAAGGATTCATTACAAAATTCGAGGGAAAAGACCAGATAACGATTACATTGCACTTCTATGCTCTTTTTTTCGACAAAGGCTATGCACCTTGAATTGGTGAATGACTAAACTACGACGCCTTTAAAGCCGCAATGCGAAGAATGCGCAACGCGGGCTATTCGCTATTGGTCCTGGTCAAGAATATATATGCGTCATAGGATCGGAAACGCTTCCTTCTATCTGTTACATACTTTTCAACGAATCTTGTATACCCTTTTACTCTATGAGTATGAAAAACGAATGGTTCCACTTATTCTTTCGTCGACCTAAACCTTATTTCGCAAAGCGCCATACAAAAATTAGAGTCACAACATTCCTAGAAAGCTTCTCACTGTCCATACCTACAGAATTTAAAGAACATGGCGAATTACAGTTATTACTTTTCAAATTCCACCCATACTTTAATGGTCTTCTCTGAATGGATTTCTTGACAGACCGAAAAGCCAAAATAAATATTGAAGAACTTAAACTTGAAATCCTTTTCACGGCAATTAATATTATAACCGAAGTTAATAGGGGAACCGACGAACTTTTTATCAAGCCCCGAAGTAAAAATATTATAAAGCTACCAGTTAACTTGAACAAAGGCGATTTCGTATGCAATCCTCTGGAGATAGACAACAATCTTCTTGCTTTCGGGGGACTTTACACTGCCGAAGACGGTCAAAGCGAAGACGACGAAGCGACACCTTTCACATTTTCGAACGCAGTCAAACACCCCATCCTGACCACCGACAATATTCCCATTCACGTAAAAACGAATAGATATCCCTTTATACATAAAGAGAAAGTCCGAAAACAAATATCTAAAATGCTCGACCAATATATAGAAACAGTCATTCCCCTTGGGTCGCCCCTGTTTGGTTAGTCCCTAAAAAATCAGTCTTCCCCGAAAAAAATGGAATTAGTAATAGATTTCAAGAAACTAAATCATTACGTACAGGTACGCAGTCCCCAAATGGAATTTCTTG